AGTAATGAACAGTCATTTTTTTTTGGAACACAAAGAGATACATTACAGTTTTTGAGGAAGTTGAAAAGATTTTGGATTAATGGAGCCTAAATTTGAGCAATTATGATAACTGTAATATTACATTTTTTAAGGAAATAAAAATAATAAAAAAGGGCATTTTAGTCTTTAGACCCAAGTACTGTACCTTTTTTCAAAACGTTTTTAAATGTGGACTTTTTGACAAATAAGTCTAATTTGGTGTACCGACTTCCAAAGAATCCTTGGATTATTAAGCTACAATGTACAACCAACCACTTGATGGATTTGGCCAGCCCATAGCCATTTGGACTGCCAATACTGATTTGGGTCTGGAGGTTTTAGCGGTGGGTCGATTTAAGTATCCAGGGTGGAGGATTCGAGCTAATGGTTTTGGATTAGGGGAGATGGGCCACTAGAGTTGTGNAACTTGACAATTGTTGTATGTTCACAAAGTCAATACTGCACATAAATACAAATTTAATTTAATCCAATGAGTTACATTATGTTTATTGGACAACAGGAAACAATATTGAAAATACAACCAGGCTGTTAACATCTTACCAGTAACAACATTACACATCCACTAACTCCAGATGGGCTGCTACTCTTTTTTTGAAATGAAGAGATAAGAGATTCATGTATTGCACTTGACCAATCATACTTCTTCATTTCATCTATATCTTCAACGTATAAAACAAATCTTCATCCTATANTGGTGGTCAGTCTCTGAGCTTGAGAAAATAATCGGAGCAAATTTAGACACCTTGTAACAAAAAAAAAAAAAAAAACTCAAGTCTAACTTAAAATATTTATTTCTGATTTTTAATATTTGAGTGGAGTTTGAACAACAAAAAGTTCAATCCAATTTNTTCAACGTATAAAACAAATCTTCATCCTATAGCTGTCTCAGTGGTTGTAAAAAATAGTATAACCATTAAAAATAGGCATAGGAGTCTTGCAACGTCATGTTTGTTTGTACCTCTTGCTGCTTCAAGCAATCTATTCCTTATCAAAGTTGATGTCAACCTGCTATCTTTCTTGAATCTCCTTTTAACAAATTTTGTATTTTCCTTAGAATGAGATAAACAATCCATGAGATCGCGTCCATCATCAATGACAAAAATTATTTTCACATCACTCCTTCTCAATTTAATGTACTTGCCACCAATGTAAAATTTAGATTTATTATCATTGAAGTACATAATTACATCATATATGATAGTATCGCTCTTCCTACACCATGTCCTGTCTAATTTTTTGTCAATGATGGATTCAAATAGTAACCAGAAATGGTGTTTTCCTCAAAACAACCTTGTGTGCTTCACTAATGTTAATTTCATATATTGCTCTAATTATCACAAGTAAATTCGATCTGTATTTAGCATCTTGCTTCAATTCCACGACTTGTTTTTTCCCCCATCACAGCTCTGAGGTGGAAAGTAACAAAGAAAAAATGTGTATAAAGTATACCAAAAGGTTAACTAAAAATATAACAATATAAAAAAAAATAGACAACCAAAAAAATAGTGTATAACACAGCCACATAACTGAATCAAATAACAATGTATGACACATTCAAAAAGTGAAGCAAAAACAATGTATAACACAGTCTAATCAGTGAAGCACAAAACAGAATATAACCAGTAATAGTGTCTCCTTTTTCCATGTCACATTGAAATTGTAAAGTATAAAGTGTGAAGTTTAAAGTGTAGTGTTACATGGTACACTAATGGATTGTTATTGAAAAATTTTGGGAGTGGTCCACTATTCTTTATTTTTTTGGTAAACTAGTATGATGTTACACTATTTTGGTAAATTTGTTACACTTCCATGTGTTACCATTCACATGTTACAGTTTGTATATTACACTGTGAAGTGAACACAATCCACATGTAATCTTAAAAATGTTTAATCACAGAGTATAAGAACAAACAATCATGTCACTAAACAACCCAGGCAATTAACATTCACGGCACACAAATCTTTTAAAATAACAACAAAAAATCAGTGTAAACTTAACAATATAACAACATAAAAACGTTTCAAAACAAGTGTAATAACAAAAGCGTATCATTAATTGTGTAACGAAATACAATTTTCCAAATAGTTTTAAATTATCAAACAATTAAAATAAGATTCAAATATATAAACTTAAACAAGAAAAAAAGTGTAATGTAACCCATTATGATAATACACAAAAAAAAACATATTCTTATTGAATAAGGAATAAACATTTTGTATTCCTGCACAATATATTATTATCCAACAAGAGCACCTTATAAACATAATATACTGTTTCGTGTCTAATTGTCTATTATTAAACACAGTATTGGTAAATTTGTCACATTTTTATATATGTTACACTTTATATATTTATATTATCATATTCACACATTCAATATTTATTATTAACACATAGTGTAATCAGAGATAATTACACACAAGAATAATAAACAAGTGTGTCACTTAACACTTCACAACACAACAAAGTTTAATAACCAAAACAAAAAGATTAAGTGAAACAAAATAAAAGTGTTTCAAATAAAGTGTAACACCAAAAGTGTAACATGAATTGTATAATCCAACACAATACAAACACCAGTTACATTGTCTTGAAACAAACTCTTGTGTGCATATGTATTCAGTCAACCCAATTCACACATATATTCAAGTATTGAAAAAAAATAAAAGAGTTACAATATCCAACAATTCATGGTATAAACAATACATAATTTGACCAAAAAACAACAAAGATGAATATTAGAGGCCACTCAATATTCAAACAAAAAAAAATAGGGTTTTAATACATGAAATTAACGACACAAAAAAATGAGAAGTGTAATGTAACCCATTATGATAAAACACAATTAAATAAACAGGGAATGAAAAATGGTATTGTACTAAATTTTTTGATTATGGGTGACCCATTATCATATTACACAATATATATACACACACACACACACATAAATATACAAACATATATTACCTCTTTCGACGATCAAAACAATCAACGAACACAGAATAAAACTCATTTCAAACCACAATCGAACAAATATCAAGAACAAGGAAGGCCGAAAAAACTCACTTCTATGAAAACTCTCTTCAATCGATCGTGGGTTTGTAACCTGAATGCTTATTGAATCGATGAACAATGGAGATTCAGCACCCTTTCTCTGATTAAACCAACAATGGGATGAGGAAGAAGATGAATCGCCTTCTTTGGTGAGGAAATGAAGACCGACGGTTTGGTGGGAAGGGAAGTAATGAACAGTCATTTTTTTTTGGAACACAAAGAGATACATTACAGTTTTTGAGGAAGTTGAAAAGATTTTGGATTAATGGAGCCTAAATTTGAGCAATTATGATAACTGTAATATTACATTTTTTAAGGAAATAAAAATAATAAAAAAGGGCATTTTAGTCTTTAGACCCAAGTACTGTACCTTTTTTCAAAACGTTTTTAAATGTGGACTTTTTGACAAATAAGTCTAATTTGGTGTACCGACTTCCAAAGAATCCTTGGATTATTAAGCTACAATGTACAACCAACCACTTGATGGATTTGGCCAGCCCATAGCCATTTGGACTGCCAATACTGATTTGGGTCTGGAGGTTTTAGCGGTGGGTCGATTTAAGTATCCAGGGTGGAGGATTCGAGCTAATGGTTTTGGATTAGGGGAGATGGGCCACTAGAGTTGTGAGGAAAGAGGGTTTGCAATGTAGGTTTGCGATTTGAGTGGGCAATTCAAATCTATCTTGAATTTTTATAGGTGGTTCAGTGGTAAAGTATATATTCTTGTAAGAAAAAGGTCTTAGGTTCGATATTTTTTATACTCTCTAAGGGTCAATTACTCTTGTTTAAGAGAAAACATGTCCTTAAACTAATTTAAATTATGGTGGTCAGTCTCTGAGCTTGAGAAAATAATCGGAGCAAATTTAGACACCTTGTAACAAAAAAAAAAAAAAAAAACTCAAGTCTAACTTAAAATATTTATTTCTGATTTTTAATATTTGAGTGGAGTTTGAACAACAAAAAGTTCAATCCAATTTAAATTTGGATAAAATTGAGTCGGGCCCTCTACTTTCAAACTTATCCCGAATCCAATCTAAAAATTAATGAATTTTGTTCGACACTAATTAACCCTAAACTCTAGTTTGAGTTGTGTAACTTGAGAGTTTTTTTTTTAGGGGAGAGGAGAAGGGAGACTTGAACATTTAACCTCAAGAAAGAAAAATATTTATAAGATAAAGAGTATAATTGAACCAAAAGTTGATTGATTGTGTAACCTGAAAGTAACTTCAAGATTTTATATTGAATTCAAATTTCAACCCAAACTATGTATAATATAAAATGGTGAAGAAAAGGATACGGACAATGTATTGAATTGTTAAAATTGAAGGCTTTGTCTTTGGTCTAATGATATTTTTTACTTTGTAAAAGGTTTTTTTTTTTTTTGAGATCAAGGGTTTAAAGTCCCCAAACCTTCCCCCCTCCCCTCCCCTCCCCTCCCCTCCCAAAAAAAGATGGTAAAAAAAAAAAGTGTTGGAATTGAAGGTTTTCTATCTTAGGTTAAACTTAGGTCAATCTTTTAATTTATTTTATTTGCTCAAGTTATATACTCCTCTACGGGGAGTAAATGAATATTTTCTTGGGAGAAGAAAATGAAAGAAATACTCTTAAATGATCAAAAGTTGTTTGGATATTACTTTGTTCGATTAAATATAAAATTATATATATATTACATTTTTAATATATTAAAAGGGTTATAGGTTGACTTTTTGTTTATTCCATAAAAATTTAACCTATTAATGTTTACGAAATGAACAATAAAAGTAGACGGAAATGTTATATTATAAATTTTTTTAATATATTGTGAGTATAATACAAAAAAATTAATTTTTAAAGATATAAAATAAAAATTTTAAAATTTTTAGTGTTCAAAGTGCAATTCATCCTAAACTAACTGTACACATCTCATCTGCTGGCTACTTCCCCAACTCCATATTTCCACACACAGAAGAATCACAAACCTTGACAGGAAGAAGATGATCAGTCTCTTCTCTCACTACCCGATACCATCTTCTTCTTCTACTTCTCTCTCTTCCCTAAGAACCCTAAAACATCTCTCATTCTTAACGAAACCCAGAACAGCCGTTTATTTGAAAAGACCATTCACTGTGAACTCTCTGCTCTCTCCGGAACCTGACCCACTTCCACCCTCTGTTCAGACATTCTGGCAGTGGGTTTGTGACGAAAACATAGTCTCCCCCAAGTCACCAGTGAAGCCAGGGGTCGTACCAGAAGGTCTAGGATTGGTTGCTCAGAGATACATAGCCAAAAATGAGGTCGTTTTGGAGATTCCCAAAAGGTTTTGGATCAATCCGGACACAGTCTTATCCTCGGAGATTGGGAATGTGTGTTCTGGGTTGAAGCCTTGGGTCTCAGTTGCTCTGTTTTTGATCAGAGAGAAGCTGAGGGACGACTCGCCGTGGCGACGCTACATTGATGTTCTTCCAGAGTACACGAATTCTACTATTTATTGGTGGGCCTGCCTTAAATTGCTTCTTTACTCTATAAACCTTTGTTGAACATGCTTATCACTTGGGTTATGTATTTCTTCTTTGTACTTCTACTGTTTTTGAGATGGGTTTGAAGTTTTTTGTGTTGATAAGTTTTGCTTGATGCTCTTCCAGTGCAGGTCAGAAGAGGAGCTCTCTGAAATTCAAGGTCAGTATATTTCTTCAATTGGGCTCCGAGTTGTATTAAAAGACCTAGAATTTTGACGGAGTTACTGGTATGCTTCATTAACAATTTAAACTTTCAGATGAGTGATGGTTGAACATATTATCAGGATAAGAGATCTTTTATGGAATCTCGCCTTTACCCTAATAATCAAAAGATTAGCACGTGTTTGACCTATAATCTGGTGTGTTGGTGAGGGTTCCTTGTAATGTAAACAACATCCTCTTTAGCATTTAAGTTTTTACACGACTTGGTGGTTTAAGAGATCCGACGTAAATATGGATCTAAGCATTTGTAATTTTGTAGATTGGTCAATAGAGGAAGGTTTACCTAAGGCAGGCCTTGTTCAATTTCTATCTAGATGACTTTGATGGCAAATTCATCCACTGCTTTCTTTCTTTTCCTTATGCTATAGACATAAATGAAGTCTTTGTGGCTCTTCCTCTTCATAATAATCTCTCGAGCTATGGAGTTTCTGAGGAGTGTCGGTATGTATTAGCATGAAGTGATCATCTCACAGATTTATACGTTTGATGGATCTTATGGTGATTTATCCACAGTAGCTTTCGAGTAGTCATTGATAATGACCTTTTAACATGCTGCTGGTCGACAGTTCTTCAAGTATGCTCATTAATGGGAATTGATGAAACACCATAAACGATGTTATGTGCTAAGATATGGTTATATTTAGGAAATCTTTTATTGGAAACATTCTCATGGGAGGATTGTTTTTGGGATAACAAATAATGTATTTAATATTTTTGGTGTACGATTACTATTCAATGCTCAATTGGGCATAACTTGGGAGTATAATGAACTAAGTTCTGCAGGTACCCAACTATTCAGCACAACATTGGGTGTGAAAGAATACGTGCAGAGTGAATTTCTAAAAGTGGAAGAAGAAATCCTACTTCCTAACCAGCAACTTTTCCCTTCTTCTATAACATTGGATGACTTTTTGTGGGCATTTGGGATACTCAGATCAAGGGCATTTTCTCGCCTTCGTGGTCAAAATCTCGTTTTGATCCCTCTGGCAGACTTGGTAAGGTCTTATATTCATTGACATTTGTTTTGGGACATTTGTCATTCAATTCCGGCGAGAATGAAAACAAAAGAAAAGAAACGGTAGAATTTCTTCAGTTACAAAAAATCCACCTGCTTCCCTGACACTCTGAACTGTATGGATGACAAGTATTGTCAATGTCAATACTTATGCTTGCTTCAACTAGTTCCTAAAACTACCTTACAGATCTAGCAATTTTTTCATATGTTACATGCACTAGTGCCTACTGCAGACAATGTTTGTTTGGGGGAACGGGCACTGAACATCCTATCATGAAAGATAGAGCTGAGAATCACAATAGTTGATATATGTAATTTCCCATTCAAAGATATATCGCAATGAGCAGAATTAAGCTGTACAACAAATTCTAATTTACACGGTATACAAGCAAAGAAATTTTACTTATTGTGTGAAAAAAAGTGGAAAAGTGAATTGGGCTTCAGTCAAGAAACAGATTCTGTTTTCATCTTATAAGCANTGCAGAATTAAGCTGTACAACAAATTCTAATTTACACGGTATACAAGCAAAGAAATTTTACTTATTGTGTGAAAAAAAATGGAAAAGTGAATTGGGCTTCAGTCAAGAAACAGATTCTGTTTTCATCTTATAAGCACATTTCTGATCTGTCCTTTGCTGCAAGATATTGGCTCGAAAAGGTTTCCATGAAAACTAGTATTTGACAATAGTAGTTGGCCTATATAAGCAGGCTGGGTTGAATGTCACTTAGGGAATTAATGTCAATCTAAAACTTTGCTATTTTTTTTGTGATTTTAGATCGTTCAACTTCCTTCAGCTTTAAATTTTACTATGTGCAAACCCCAATTTCTGGATTAGTTAGAGTATTTACTCTGTGAACTTGATTTCCGGATCAGATCAACCACAGCCCCAGCATAACCACAGAAGATTATGCATATGAGATTAAAGGAGCTGGTCTTTTCTCTAGGGATCTCTTGTTTTCTTTACGGAGCCCAGTATATGTCAAGGCTGGTGAACAGGTAAAATTTGTTTGGTCCATCCTGAAGTTGCTTTTTTTCCTCATTTCAGTGCTTTACTTGAACATCTTCTACCAAAATTTTGACATATTAATGTGAAAAGGTTATAATGACGTGGAATCACTGGCGTCTCATCAATCTGAAAAAATGTCTCTGGCCCATTGGACATAGACATCAACTTGTGAACCACTAATACTAGAAAAAAAAAATTAAAATGCCCCAAAAAATATTACTGCACAATCAGAATAGAAGAACAAGTCTTAATTTGTATAATATAACATCTTTTTGGAGTATTACATTTGTGGTGTCAGATATTGTCAAACTTAAAACTAATGAAATGAAAATTTCTATCTCATGAACATCACTAAATTAGCTTGTTAGGCTCCAAAGGTTGATAGAAAAGGCCTTCAAATCAAGTAACTTAGTTGAATCCGATAAAACAATATTCTTATGTGGTAGCATTGGAATTCTAACAGGCTTTAATCCAATATGATTTAAACAAGAGCAATGCTGAGTTGGCTCTGGATTATGGATTCATAGAACCAAGGGCAGATCGTAATGCATATACATTAACATTAGAGATATCTGAGTCTGATCCATATTTCGGAGACAAGCTGGACATTGCAGAGTCAAATGGTCTGGGAGAAACTGCCTATTTTGAAATAATACTAGGCTGCCCTCTTCCACCAGCAATGCTTCCATATCTGCGGCTGGTAGCGCTTGGTGGGACCGATGCTTTCCTCCTGGAATCCATTTTCAGAAACTCTATTTGGGGCCACGTTGAATTGCCAGTTAGCCGTGCCAATGAGGAGCTTATATGCCACGTCATCCGCAATGCCTGCAAAACTGCTCTTTCTGGATATCACACAACCATTGAAGAGGTAAATTTTATCCTTTGTATGTATAGATACTAAGAGTTAATTTTCTTTAATGTCATCTCTGCCTGCTGTGACATAAAAGTAGAGATTTGTTAAATGAATCCTGCCTCGAAGATATCATATTTCAGAATGAATTAAGCTAGAGATGGCAACATGAATTTTATATGGACCTGAAGAATCAAAATGACTGACGATTACGCTCACCTAACTGACATGATTTAGGCTACATAATTTTCTTGGTGGAACCCCAGATGGTCCAATTCCTTCGTTCTTTGTCGCTATCTTACAAGTGCACTATTATCATAATTATAATATGCTTGATTTGCTTTCTTTCTGATATTTAAATCAGAAGGATTCTTCTGGTACTCAAGGAAACAATAGTAACTGAATGAAAAGGTGGATTGTAGGATGAGAAGTTGAAGGAAGGTGGAAATCTTGATCCAAGGCTTGAGATAGCGGTGGGGATACGAGCAGGGGAGAAGAAGGTACTGCAACAAATTGATGGAATCTTCAAGGAGAGGGAACTGGAACTGGACGAATTGGAATATTACCAAGAAAGGAGGCTTAAGGATCTTGGTCTGGTTGGGGAGCAAGGTGAAATAATTTTCTGGGAGCCCAAGTAGTATATTACTGAATTCCACATGTTTCTATCAATGTGGTATGGGAGGCAATTTCATCACATGTTACTGGAACAAGGAGTGGAGACAAGAGAACAGCTCATAAGCATCCTTCACCCTTTCAAGGAGGTTCCTATCTCCATTTTTCCACAAATTGTACCAGGTTGAGCTTCTATTCTAGTGTAACAATGTATGTCACAGCTAGTAACTCGTGTGATTATGAGCAATTTTGAATTCTCATGACATGGCAATCTTCAGATAATTCCTTCTTTCGTATTGTTGTTCGTTTGCTGAAAAGGTTGTTTTGTGATATGTGCTTCTCCCTCCTCTCGTTCTTTGTTTCATGGGGGGAAATTTACCACACTGGACGCAGTCATGGGAGCGCTACCTCGCTGACATAATTTCTCAATGCATTACTCAAGAATACTCTCGTGGAGAATCATGAACAACTAACCCCAGCTGATGGCTGCAGGTTTAACTCTGCTAATTCCAACGACAATCCAGCTCTCCTAATCCAATTCTAATGGTTGGCATTTTAACTAGGTTGAGAATTTGAAAACGGCAATAACTACGGATGTCAGATTGATTCAGGTGCTTTTCAACAAGGTCCAGGGCTCTGCAGGGTGCATTTCCTCATTCTTTTTCTTATTTTGGCTTGGGAAGGCAGAGGTTCAACTTCATCGGGTTGAAATGTGATTGTGCAACCCATCTTTGTCTGCGTTTTTTTTTTTTTCAAGACCATATTGTACTCACCCTGGTGAATAGACCCCGATACATCTGCTTTGCAATGTCGTATAGAAGTGCTAAAAACAGTTACATGGTTAATACTTTATGATTTTAGAACCATTGCATCAATTATTTTGCATATTAAAACTTTTCATTGTATAAGGAGAGGAACATCCTTATGGATGACTCTACAATCATGTGGCAGTACCTTGCACACTTCAACCAACAGAAGAAAGCACTTAAGATATGAAAAAATTGAATTAACACATCGCTGAACACTCTAAAAGGGAACTTCCACTTTTTCTTTTCTGTACTTTTTTTTTTTTTTATCCTGTCATTTCTCACAAAGGTCGTCAGGCATGAACAATACATCTTTAGACGCCGGGGTATAACTTCAGGCGATCTTTCTGCTGTCGCCTACAAAGCTCTTTAGGCATGTCTACAGAGCCATTTCCAACCATCCTAATCATGCAGGGTCGTCTTTCGTTTCGCCACAGTATCTGTGCAGTGGAACACGATGTCTAGCTAAGAACTAGATCTGAATGTGCCTCACTGGAGTTCAGTAGAATTACCAGGGCCCAATAAATCATCACAACTTGTTCTCTCACAAAGGCACTCTTGAGGATTCGCATAGAAATAATCTTCTTCTTTGGGCTTGTCAGCAGTAACTCTCCGACGACCTGGCTGTCCCATCCTCCGCTCATGTGCCAACTGGACAGCGGCTGCAAACTCATCCCATAAAAGTGTCCCGTTCTGATTCAAATCTAGCAATTCCACAAGCCTTTTCCGATCTAATTGGATGGTTTTTTTAAACCCAAGATACCTGCACAAGATCTAATCAGGAATGTCTTCAAAATATTTACTTTCTTTTTTGTATTTGCCTTAAAACCCAAAACAAAAAAGGAATATTCCTAAAAAGTTGACCAGGAGTACCTGCGGTGACCCTCCACAAGTTTTGCCATGTTCCCATCATAAGTAGGGACGAAGATATTACTTGCAGTTGATACCATGAAATCCAGGGCAGCCATTTGAGATGAATGATTCTGGAACTGCCGCAAATCCTCGGGATCCAGCAGCATTTCCTTTTTCACCTGAAATGTTAATTTTGATGAATTTTAGAAGAGCTACACAAAAATAAGCGAATGCAAGCCAACCATTTCCAGCCAAGTGAGGATAATAACCCTGCTTAATCAACTAAAAATGCATACTCCAGACTCGAGTCTAGCCAATAATGGGCCCTGGTAGGATTGGTGGAATAAGGATCCAAATGATCCTAACCATTTCTAATTGAATGTATTCGTCGCTCACTTTGCGACTATCCAAAGTCCAAACATATTTAGTCAGACAGTTTAACACAAACCATTAATTCTTTTACAAACAAGGCCCATCAACAGGCATCCTCTACCCTCAAAGTACATGTGACAAAAAAACATTTGTTTTTGGAGAGGCATCGCTATGACCTACCCTAATTAATCTTCTTAATATATTGACCAGAAGGTTGTTGCATGCTATGTGTGATTCACAACCATTTCAGCAGAGCTGGACCATAGGAATTTCATATTCATGAAGTCAAAAGAATGAAGATTGAAATGCAAGACACTAAAACCACTCACAATCCGTGGAAAGGCAGCTCGTAGCACGGTAAGTCTCCGTTCACCACCATATATCTCACCAGATGCAATGTATATCTGTGTTCCGTTGTCAAAACCAAATGCTTGCAGAACTAATGCCGCCTCCTCTGGAGTAAGAGGACACAGACCTTGTGCTCTCCTTTCTTCGGACACTATCTCTTTCTCCCTCCACCAAGGGAATGCATATCTGAACCAAAAGTATTTATCATCAAACAGTTTCACCTAAGAAATGACACCAGAAATCACTTCTGATAATAGAATTCGTTAATTGAGTAAAATGGGCCTATAGAAAACTCAAATAAGTAAATCCTGTTAGAATTGATCAATGAGAATAGAGAAGAGAAAGGAAGAATAGATTATTCATTTAGGAAGTCTATAATGCACAGCTTAACCTAGAAATACACAAAGTAACCCTTATATAGTAGGGCAACACAACATAAAGAAAATGCCTAAACTACCCTTATTATGAATACTCTAACACCCCCTCTCAAATTCATGATGTGGTAGAAAACATCAAGAATTTGCCAAGAAGGAATCTAAAACGTGCTATGGTATGAGACTTNCCTGGTAGGATTGGTGGAATAAGGATCCAAATGATCCTAACCATTTCTAATTGAATGTATTCGTCGCTCACTTTGCGACTATCCAAAGTCCAAACATATTTAGTCAGACAGTTTAACACAAACCATTAATTCTTTTACAAACAAGGCCCATCAACAGGCATCCTCTACCCTCAAAGTACATGTGACAAAAAAACATTTGTTTTTGGAGAGGCATCGCTATGACCTACCCTAATTAATCTTCTTAATATATTGACCAGAAGGTTGTTGCATGCTATGTGTGATTCACAACCATTTCAGCAGAGCTGGACCATAGGAATTTCATATTCATGAAGTCAAAAGAATGAAGATTGAAATGCAAGACACTAAAACCACTCACAATCCGTGGAAAGGCAGCTCGTAGCACGGTAAGTCTCCGTTCACCACCATATATCTCACCAGATGCAATGTATATCTGTGTTCCGTTGTCAAAACCAAATGCTTGCAGAACTAATGCCGCCTCCTCTGGAGTAAGAGGACACAGACCTTGTGCTCTCCTTTCTTCGGACACTATCTCTTTCTCCCTCCACCAAGGGAATGCATATCTGAACCAAAAGTATTTATCATCAAACAGTTTCACCTAAGAAATGACACCAGAAATCACTTCTGATAATAGAATTCGTTAATTGAGTAAAATGGGACTATAGAAAACTCAAATAAGTAAATCCTGTTAGAATTGATCAATGAGAATAGAGAAGAGAAAGGAAGAATAGATTATTCATTTAGGAAGTCTATAATGCACAGCTTAACCTAGAAATACACAAAGTAACCCTTATATAGTAGGGCAACACAACATAAAGAAAATGCCTAAACTATCCTTATTATGAATACTCTAACACCCCCTCTCAAATTCATGATGTGGTAGAAAACATCAAGAATTTGCCAAGAAGGAATCTAAAACGTGCTATGGTATGAGACTTCGTAAAAAAATCCGTNACTGGTAAGGCTTTAGGCTCAACCATATGGTGGATTGGTGGAATAAGGATCCAAATGATCCTAACCATTTCTAATTGAATGTATTCGTCGCTCACTTTGCGACTATCCAAAGTCCAAACATATTTAGTCAGACAGTTTAACACAAACCATTAATTCTTTTACAAACAAGGCCCATCACCAGGCATCCTCTACCCTCAAAGTACATGTGACAAAAAACATTTGTTTTTGGAGAGGCATCGCTATGACCTACCCTAATTAATCTTCTTAATATATTGACCAGAAGGTTGTTGCATGCTATGTGTGATTCACAACCATTTCAGCAGAGCTGGACCATAGGAATTTCATATTCATGAAGTCAAAAGAATGAAGATTGAAATGCAAGACACTAAAACCACTCACAATCCGTGGAAAGGCAGCTCGTAGCACGGTAAGTCTCCGTTCACCACCATATATCTCACCAGATGCAATGTATATCTGTGTTCCGTTGTCAAAACCAAATGCTTGCAGAACTAATGCCGCCTCCTCTGGAGTAAGAGGACACAGACCTTGTGCTCTCCTTTCTTCGGACACTATCTCTTTCTCCCTCCACCAAGGGAATGCATATCTGAACCAAAAGTATTTATCATCAAACAGTTTCACCTAAGAAATGACACCAGAAATCACTTCTGATAATAGAATTCGTTAATTGAGTAAAATGGGCCTATAGAAAACTCAAATAAGTAAATCCTGTTAGAATTAATCAATGAGAATAGAGAAGAGAAAGGAAGAATAGATTATTCATTTAGGAAGTCTATAATGCACAGCTTAACCTAGAAATACACAAAGTAACCCTTATATAGTAGGGCAACACAACATAAAGAAAATGCCTAAACTATCCTTATTATGAATACTCTAACACCCCCTCTCAAATTCATGATGTGGTAGAAAACATCAAGAATTTGTCAAGAAGGAATCTAAAACGTGCAATGGTATGAGACTTCGTAAAAAAATCCGTCATCTGCATCGTGGAAGGAAGAAAGGGGAGAGTGATGGTGCCTTGCTGCAGATGATGACGCACAAAGTGACAATCAATCTCAATGTATTTTGTGCGTTCATGGAAGACTGAATTATGAGCAATCTGAATAGCACAGGTGTTGTCGCAGAACATAGGAGTAGGGGATGATACCGAAATGCCAAGATCAACAAGGAGCCATCGTAACCAAAATATCTCAGCTGTAGTAGATGCCATAACACGACACTCAGCTTCAGCAGAAGAACGAGCAACAACAGTTTGTTTCTTGCTTTTCCAGGAAAAAAGAGAATCCCCAAGAAACAGTCAAAAATTAGTGGTGGACTTGTCATCCATAGAGTTACCAGTCCAGTCAGCATCAGAGTAAGCACTGAGTTCCATATATGAAGAGTGAGGAAAGAGTAAACTCTGATATAGAGTACCACAGAGATACCGAAGAATGCGAAGAACAGCAACCCAGTGAACGATGGTGGGTGAGGCAACAAATTGACTCACAATGTGAACAACATAAGAGATATCCGGACAAGTGACTGTAAGATATACTAAACTCCCAACAATAATTCAATAGAGGGTTGGGTCAGATAAGAGAGTACCGTCAGACAAAGAGTAACGAACATTGAGCTCTAAAGGTGTCTCAACTGTCTGATTATCTGATAAACGAGCTTGTTCAATAACATCTGAAGTATACTTGGATTGAGAGAGAAGATATCCTTTAGGAGAGGAAGCAATCTCAATACCCAAGAAATATCTAAGCTGTCCCAAATCTTTCATCTAAAAATGATCCTGCAACTGGGTTTTCAATAAGCAGATGTCAACAATGTCATCACCCGTAATAATCATATCATCAACATATAGTAAGAGAATAATAGAACCTGAGGAAGTAGACCGTAAAAAAGAGCAGAATCATGGTCACTGGCATGAAAACTCAAGTCACAGATAACCGAAGAAAATTTGGCAAACCATGCTCTGGGAGCCTATTTAAGACCATATAAGGCACAATGAAGGCAACATACTTGTCCAAAACTATAAGATAATCCAGGGGGATGTGTCATAAAAACCTTTTCAGTCAAGTCTCCATGTAGAAATGCATTTTTCACATCCATTTGAGACAAACTCCATTGTCGAATGGCAGCAACTACAATCATGGTGCGAACAGTAGTCATCTTGGCAACATGAGCAAAAGTCTTATCATAATCTAGACCATATTCCTGAGCAAACCCTTGGGTTACTAATCGAGCTTTATATCGTTCCACTGAACCATTTGACTTGGTTTTTATCTTATAAACCCACTTACAACCAATGATGCGTTTACCAGGCGATAAGGACACTAGCTCCCAGGCTCTGGTCTTATGTAAGGCAGACAACTCCTCATCTATAGCCTATTACTAAAGTGGATCAAGTAATGCCTCCTTGTAGGAGGAGGATTCAGATAGAGAACAAATAGAAGTAAGGAAAGAACAAAAGTCAAAAGAATAACAAATATTACTCCAACCAAACCTGTCTGGACATTTGCGAGAGCACTGAGGATAGCGTGGNTTTGTTTCTTGCTTTTCCAGGAAAAAAGAGAATCCCCGATAAACAGTCAAAAATTAGTGGTGGACTTGCCATCCATAGAGTTACCAACCCAGTCAGCATCAGAGTAAGCACTGAGTTCCATATATGAAGAGTGAGGAAAGAGTAAACTCTGATATAGAGTACCACAGAGATACCGAAGAATGCGAAGAACAGCAACCCAGTGAACGATGGTGGGTGAGGCAACAAATTGACTCACAATGTGAACAACATAAGAGATATCCGGACAAGTGACTGTAAGATATACTAAACTCCCAACAATAATTCAATAGAGGGTTGGGTCAGATAAGAGAGTACCGTCAGACAAAGAGTAACGAACATTGAGCTCTAAAGGTGTCTCAACTGTCTGATTATCTGATAAACGAACTTGTTCAATAACATCTGAAGTATACTTGGATTGAGAGAGAAGATATCCTTTAGGAGAGGAAGCAATCTCAATACCCAAGAAATATCTAAGCTGTCCCAAATCTTTCATCTAAAAATGATCCTGCAACTGGGTTTTCAATAAGCAGATGTCAGCAATGTCATCACCCGTAATAATCATATCATCAACATATAGTAAGAGAATAATAGAACCTGAGGAAGTAGACCGTAAAAAAAGGCAGAATCATGGTCACTGGCATGAAAACTCAAGTCACAGATAACCGAAAAAAATTTGGCAAACCATGCTCTGGGAGCCTATTTAAGACCATATAAGGCACAATGAAGGCAACATACTTGTCCAAAACTATAAGATAATCCAGGGGGATGTGTCATAAAAACCTTTTCAGTCAAGTCTCCATGTAGAAATGCATTTTTCACATCCATTTGAGACAAACTCCATTGTCGAATGGCAGCAACTACAATCATGGTGCGAACAGTAGTCATCTTGGCAACAAGAGCAAAAAGTCTTATCATAATCTAGACCATATTCCTGAGCAAACCCTTGGGTTACTAATCGAGCTTTATATCGTTCCACTGAACCATTTGACTTGGTTTTTATCTTATAAACCCACTTACAACCAATGGTGCGTTTACCAGGCGATAAGGACACTAGCTCCCAGGCTCTAGTCTTATGTAAGGCAGACAACTCCTCATCTATAGCCTATTTCTAAAGTGGATCAAGTAATGCCTCCTTGTAGGAGGAGGGTTCAGATAGAGAATGAATAGAAGGAAAGAACAAAAGTCAAAAGAATAACAAATATTACTCCAACCAAACCTGTCTGGACATTTGCGAGAGCGCTGAGGATAGCGTGGGGTATGATCCACAGTGTTTGAACTTGATTGGGCGGCCGGAGAAGAAAGGGGAGGCACTACATCCGGAGAGGAGATAACTGGAGTCCTGCGAACATATGTATGCACAATAGGGGGACGAGTAATAGTTGACTCAGAAGATGAAGGATCTGACACGGGTATATCACCAACATATGTGTCATGAGGAACATTGGTAGGAAAGGGATCAATGTATAGCAAGTCAGACATATTCAATGAGGAAGAGCTAGATGGAATTGAGAAGAAGGGAATATGCTCCATAAAAATAACATGACGAGAGACAAAGTTTGCGGGTGATGGGATCAAAGCAACGATACCCTTT